GGATTATTTGGGCTATAGAATCTCTAGCGAAGGCATCGAAATGGACCCAGCTAAGGTGAAGGCCGTCATAGAATGGCAACCCCCCAAAACTCGGAAACAACTCCAGAGTTTCCTGGGATTTGCTAATTTTTACCGTCAGTTCATTCCTTCATTTGTCGAGATCGCTTGGCCCCTGACAGAACTATTAAAATGGGTAAGGGTGGAGGGAAAACATATCCAGGTCAGCCTCTGCACTGGTCTTTGGAGTGCCAAACCGCTTTTGAGAATTTAAACAGACTGTTCACTGCTGAGCTAATTCTAAAACTTCCTTACCAAGAGGAGCAATTTGTAATTCAAGCCAATGCTAGCGATGTAGCTGTGGGAGCAGAACTCCTGCAGAAGAATCAGGAGGGAGTTTTACAGCCCTTTGCTTACATTTCAAAAAAATTCACTGACACAGAAAGGAGGTGGGCTATTTGGGAGAAGGAAGCTTTTGCAATTAGATGGGCTTTACTAGCGTGGTGTCATTTCCTAGAAGGGAGCCAGGTGCCTTTTGAAGTATGGACTGATCACAAGAATTTGGAGGCACTGAAAACTTCCCGTAAACCGTCTCCTAAACAAGTGCACTGGGCACAATATTTTAATCGTTTTAATTTCACCCTGAAGTATTTTCCGGGGGGGGGGGATTTTTTAGCTGATGCCCTCTGCAGATTGCCCCAATACAAAAGCCAACGTGAGCAAGTCATAGACTCTATTATGCCCCCACCTCAAGTTATTTCTCAGATAACTCCCCAAAGTCACCAACCTGCAAGGACCCTTAACCCTGATGATCCTTTGACAAAGAAGTTAAAACAAGAATTGATTACTGACCAATGGTTCAATGACAATCAAACCATCCTTACCCATAGGGATGGGCTAGCTTGGAAAGGGGGAAAATTGTACTTACCTGAATCCCTCAGACTCCAAGCGCTCCAACGCAGTCATGATATAAAGCAAGCTGGTCATTTTGGCTACCTAAAGACATTACATCTAATCCGGAGGAAGTTTGGTGGCCTAACCTAAAGGATGCAGAGAACTATGTAAAAATCTGTGCAATCTGTGCTACCATGAAAAGAATCCCAGGAAAACCTCCTGGGCTGTTGCAGCCTGTTGCACACCCTTCCCAGTGATGGAAAGAGATCGCTATGGATTTTATTGTCGAGTTACCTGAGAATAGAGGAAATACGGTAAAATGGACTGTGATTGATCTCTTTTCAAAGCAGGCTCATTTTATTGCCTGTTCAGTCCTCCCTTCTGCCCAGAAATTGGCTAAGCTGTTCCTGAAGCATATTTACAGATTGCACAGCACACCAAAGTGAATAATATCCAACAGCGGGGTGCAGTTTGCGGCCAGGTTCTGGGGGGATTTTTTAAAAATTGATTGGTTCTACGCAAGGACTGTCATCGGCTTTTCATCCATCTACGAATGGAGTGGCTGAAAAAGTGAACGCAATGGTGGAGCAATATCTTAGATGTTATGTGGATTATCAACAGACAAATTGGACCGATCTCCCTTTTGCTGAGGTGGCTTATAACAACACTGTACACAGCAGCAATGGATTTACACCGTTTAAAAGAGCCACAGGGAGGGATTTCATCCCGATGCCTGAATACCCCCAAGAACCACCTGCATCTCAGACTTTAGATCAATGGGTGTCTGCTTGGAAGGAGGTGTGGGACAATGCAAAGAAAGCTTTGAAGAAAGCTTCAGAGACAAAAAAACAAATGGATGAGAAAATAGCACCTCAAAAGTCATTTCATGTGGGAGAGAAAGTTTATCTTTCCACGAAATATTTAAGACTCAAATTACCTAGCAAGAAATTGAGGCCAAAATACTTGGGACTTTTTCCCATAGCACGGATTTTGAACCCAGTAACTGTGGAACTAAAACTTCCTCGACTTTTAG